GGTGCCTTAAACCAGCGCCTTAGACCGCTCGGCCATCTCGCCTCCGTTCCTCATGCTTATTATTTTCTCCTAAGGTCTGAGTGGAAAATTTATTTAAAATTTATAAAGTTTGAAAAATGCAGATTTTTTACCATAGTTACTTAAAATCTTAATTTCAGTGCATTTTAGTCGAGCCAATGAAATCGCAAGAATGGCTTTTCTAGAAAAGCTTATTTAACCTCCTTTTTCCGCTCAACTTGATATACTCACTAATTGCTACGGTTTTCTATAAAAATAGTGAACAGATAAAATGGCTGGGAGTCATTCGGATTTCCCTAATCTGCTGCTAATGGACTCGAGTCCAATCCATGTTGCCTTCCAACTACCCTCCATCTACGCGGCGGCCTCTGAATAAGTGCGCGAATTTTTTGCTTTGTTTTAGATTTATCTGCGTTATTATCTGTATTTTTCTTAAGTTGTATGTAGTATAAGCTGCACTGCATTAAATATCAAAAACTTCCTCCATTTCATACGAACTACGCATCTTTTTAGAAATATATTCGAAGGATGTTTTGCAAACAAGTAATAAATCGTTGTAAGTTCAATTCGATTATATAGAAGTACAAACTAAAAATTGTTGCAAAAAATTTTTGCAATTTAAAAAATAAAACAAAGAATAAATGAATAGTGTTGAGTTGTTTATTAGAAGTTCTGTGGCTTCTCTTTAAATGTGAATGATACTGGAAGCAACAAATTAAGATAATATAAGAAAAATAAGAAGAATAAGAAAAATAGGAAATCAACGCCAAAGTGATGCCTTCTTTTTCATCGGTAGCGTTCACTACTGGAACAAATTGTGCCCGAATGATTTCTGCAAATAGTTATGAAAATAAACTGAACAAAGTTATCCATAGTGTTATTTAACATAATTTCCATTGACATGATAGTTTCAGACATTTTTTCCCTACTTTCTTTTCATAAATCTGATGCTGCTAGAGAGTCATATGCCTCAAAAAACTATTTTGATGGTAAAGGCATATTGGAATTTCATCACGATTTTCTTAGATAAAAATTAATCAGATTTTAGCTAATCTCAAAGAGTAGACCTTGATATTGGTCGTAGTTTTCGTTGTTTGTTTGAAATTTGTAATTTGTAAAATATTTTCACATTGTTTCCCATAACAGAATTAAACTATCTTCAAGATAATTTGACTAATTTGGTATCAACAAAAACAGTTTAAATTCTAATGATAAACAAAGTTCCACATATTCAAACTAAATCTACTGATTTCCCTTCTCTATTCACTTCTCTTCCTTCACTATTCGATTCTATCTTGTGTAGACAACCATTTCGGCGTAGTTGAAAATCTATGCTTTTTATAAATAAGAATATTTTTAAAAAATCCTGCAGAATTTAAAGGTATTTCAGAATTTAAAACAAATCCGACAATTTCCTTATAAATATGCGCGTCTGTAACACAGATTGATGGATTGATTAAACTAATTGAGAGTTTACAAAAGTACGCATCCATAATAGCATGCTTAATAAAATTATACTTAGGGTTAATAAGGTTTTATGTTCACCTATTTGATGCAAATTAAAAATATATAAAAAGAGCCAAAAGAGCCACCTGCAAGATTCTATCTGGCTTTATTGATTTGAATTTTATTAATTATTATAGCTTGTTATTATATACTTTGGTCTTAATACCACTAAGGATAATGGATTAAAGTTACGGAGACTTCTCTGCATTTTTTTAAAGCTGTTTCTTCATCAAAATATCAATATCAATTAATGGGATAAATTACCTAATGACGTTGTTCTAAAAAAAAATAAACTTAGCAATATTTTTTATTCACGACGACATTTAAACTCAAGAATTCACCACAGCTATTTTATTATCATTGATATCATTATTTTTATTCTATGTTTATTTGATTCCCTCTTATTATTATTGTCATTCGCAATTTGTTGTCGTTTGTCGTTAAGCGCACAAGTTCCCCACTGTTTTTTATTAAAGGCTTAGGAAAAATTCCGAATCCTTTCGAGCTCGTTTAGTTAATTTAAAGCCTCATAATAATTTCGTTAAATAATTTAAGGCAATAATTTAAATCAAATAATATAAAATTGCTGGTGAGAAAATCATTTCCCGTGAGAGAATAGGAGAGATGAACTGATTTTTTTTGGCTTATCGCCGAAAAAGCTAAAATCACTCGCCCGCCCATATATCCAAAATCCGTTACTCTTATTGCAAAATTTTTCCAATTTGGTATCTTCAATTTTATCTTGTTTGAATTTTTTGTCCAAATGTCATTTTCATGGAGATAATTTACTCGATTATTCTTCGTCTCTTCTTAAAGCGATTTTCAAAATTTTACTCGACATTTCAATCGATTTGTGCTAAAATATAATAAATTGAAATGCTTCAGAGAAATTTTCTTAATTTGTTACATTTTTTTATTTTTAATTTTACAGAGTTAAAAGTTAAATTAAGCACATTAAATTTGTAAACTTTTTATTTGCCTATAGTAAATTTTTCCTTAAGGAACATCGAAAGTCAAGGGAAATATTGCTTAAAAGCCTTATAAAATTGAGTAAAATTTTTTCCAAATGAATTTTTAATTTTTTTCTACTATTTTTTTAATTTCAGTTTTAAGAATAGAGAACTGTTTATGAATTATATTATGGACTGATTAATTAAATTCTTCATTTATAAACAAATTTATATTTTTTCTTTCAAAAAATCTTCCATTTTTAAATCTATCTGATCTGCAAAGGCAAATCTTATAAAATCATTTTCTAAGCATGGAAATCGTTGCAAATTTTCTTATTATTCTTTCATTTTTTATGTATAGCCCATATGTATTTTAAAAAATTTTATGCCGATATTACTACTTTGTTGAGGAATCTAAAATTGCTGATAATATTTGTAATATAATATTAGATATTTATATCAATATAAATACATAAATATGTAAATTAAGAGTCAAAAAAATTCACTTATGCAATCTACCACATTTAGTTCCACAATAATTTTTTTTTCGAAGATAAGTTGTGGACAAATACTTTATTTTGAAAAATTGAAGCCATTTCTCAAATTTTTTTTTTCCCAAATTTCCCATAAAAATTTTCCTTTATATCTGAATTAATCAATAATAAAACAATGAAATAACCTGTTCAGATCAACGAGAAACTGATCCAGCATAATATAATAAGTATCAATTAAATGAATCAACCTCTCCTACTAGACCTGAATGGTAGAAATAAGGTGTTTTCAGAACAATGGCTATCTGATTTAAAGATCAGAAAAAACAAAAAACTGCAAATCTTTAATGTTAGTTGCGTAGAAACAATAGATTTTAGTGCATTCTGCAGAATTTATAATTTATTTCGTTTTTTGTATTTCTAAAGAATTCGGAATCAGGAAAAAAATCAGTTTTGTGGAATAATTACTTCAAAGCTTCATAAATACACTTTTTTCATCGAAAATACTGCTCAAAAAATTTTATTAAATTTAATTTTATGAAGTATAGCGACTATTTTTGATTTTTGATTTGACTTTTTTCTTCTTAAATTCTTTTTAGATAAAAGAAAGAATAAATTATTTCTGTATATATATAATTAATTTTTTATAATTTTTTTTATAATTCTTTATTTGCAATTTTCATTTAAAAATATTTATACATCCTATTATATCTCTGATATTATTCGAACCACAATAACTTAAAGAAAGTCCCTTTCTCACGCTCTTTGGGTGATATCGATTTTCCTCAATCTCGGCTCTTCTACAGGAGAACTGAGGGCTCAGTATCTTACTGTTTCTAGCAGTGCATTCTTTTGGACAGAGATAATATTCCTGGGACCTGTTAGAGCTTTTTTTCTACAGGTCATAGTTTCGAGTGTTCCTAATACCTCTGGCACCACTTTGGCCTTCGCTATCTACATCTCTATTCTCTTACAGTGCTTGATATTTTTCTAGCTTATATTCCTTCTTTCTACTATTCCTACCACTTAATATTGCTATCACCATTGCGCTTTTCTGATTCTTTTCAACTACCATGATGCCAGAGCTTGCTTATTCATCTAAATGGTAAGTTCACAGAATCTTGGCCTTGTTGGGTCTTCATAATTTTTTCCATCTGAGTTTTAGATAGTTTGATATGAAGATTTTTTTCCGTAAACAATGTCAGCTTTATATATGTATACATGAATATATATATATATATATGTTCCTGTGGATGGTATGGGTTATCCTCATTCCCTATCTAATCTCGGGTCAACCACCAGAAACATTTGGCAATTTGAGGTTCCACGCAATATCTTGGTTGTTTCTAGTACTCTTCTAAACAGAGATCTCTGATATTATTCCTTGAGTCTACTGTAGATTTTCAACTTAGAAATCACAGTCTCCAGTGCTCCTATTACACTGGGATTGCTTTGGCCCTCATTTTCCACATCTTTTCTAATTCCTCTTTCAACCCTTAATATCCCTCATATATCTATCTCATATTCCTTTTTCCTGATGTTGTCATTTGGCATTGCTCTTTCTATCGTCAATTGATTTTTGGTTTTTGTCTATTACAACGATGTGGAGGAGTCCATAAAATCTTATTCTTATTTCCCATTATTTTCTAAAAAATTCCCTAAATTCTCTAATTTTGGAAGGATCATTAGGAATATGAGAAATATGCTGAGGTCTTGCCACTATGTGCTGGATAGTTTCTAACTTTCCTATAACTTTTCTTTTTTCTGCATTTAAATAGGTCAATGAAAAATTAAGTTATATGCAATGATTTATTGTAATTTTATTGTTTTTTTTTAAAGTAAATTCTGTTTAATTAAGCGTAAAAAATTTATTGAAGCATTAATATCAAGGAAATAAATATGCAAATTCGCATATCAGTTATTGACTTTCATATTTTTCGCTTCTTTTTTTAAATAATCAAATTTAATCAAATTTCTTAGAAAGCAATAATCAAAATGATTGTTTAACGCGAGTAAACAATTAAAAAAGTAATGCATGGGCGGACATCAGTGCAAACAGAATGGTGTTTATTATGATGATCGTTGCGTGAATAAAAAAGTTTCGACAAAAATTAGGGCGTGCAGGTATTTGTAATGTTGATGATCTGATAATAAGCCATTTTTATCATGAAATCCCAAATTTCTTTTTTTCTTTTTTTCCGGAAGCATTTCTGGTTAGACTCACTCGAAGTTTTTCCTAGGAATTACTTCATGAATTACATGTAGGTCGCCAGCACCATCCAGATTTTTAAAAAACTCCGACCGGGTAGAGTCCCAGCATCCAAAATGCGAGCAAAAACCCTTTCCATCTTTAATTAGTTATAAAAATATATACGTAAATTTATTAGAAAGTTAAATTAAATAATTATAATTAAATAATTATAAATTATAATTTTTCATAATGAACCAATAACTTTTTTATATTTTGGTTTTAGGATTAAAAATAATTATCGCACTTTCAGTGATATTTCTTTCAGTTTTTTTTTATTGTAGAACTTTACCAAGTAATATCTTCCTTAAATGATGAAAGGTAAGTAATATAAGAGTTATTACAAATGTTTTCGTCCAGATCATGGAAACCATCTGAAGATCGCTACAATTCCGCATCAGCTCTGTTCAAAGATTTTTGCAATCGTACAAGTTCTCATGGCATACCATTGATTGGGTGAGTAGTCGTGCTATAAATAGCTGTATAACATAAATAACGAAAAAACAATACCACTGCTCATGCATAAACGTATGAAATTCAGACGTTGGCTATCGATTACGATGGCCCAGTTTGAAATTATTTAAAATGTTTATTAAATTTGTAATCTGCATCACTTTGTGCTTCCTTTATGAAATTTTTCACTGAATAAAGTGGAAGAATGAATTTTCTAAAAAGAGCGACTGAATTATGATTAAATGCACCATAAGCAATTAGTGCTCATTGCTTTTGGTAAGAATTTTCGGGATAAAAAAGTACGGCGAGATTTCCGAATGTCACGTTGTTCTTGTTAGGATGAGAGAATCGAATCTCTAATGTCCGAGGCAAAATCAGTCATATCACTGGACAGTCCATGTCCTAAGCCAGAATATATTTTTTTGTAGGCAGTCTTTTTTTACAAGAAAATTCTAAGTCTTTAAGAAAGAAAAGATCATTCCGAATGAATATTTCTTCCCACTTTCATTTTGTTTGCAAGTAATAGAATTAGTTATAGATCGCCATCATTTTTCAATCGTGCTGTTTGGACTCTAATAACTCTTTTGTGCTTTATTTTATTTTTATATCAAACATATTGGACGCTTTCTGAATTTTTCCAGTATCGAACAATTATCGAAATGCAACTCAAATTCGAACCAGGTTTCTTTTAATAATTAATAATGTCCTAATAATTGTACAGTATTCACCAATTTTTTCACTCGATTCTTGTATGTTTTTTAAAGAAATTCATCCTTTTAATTTTTTTCATTCATAAACCATAAAAATTTATTTGCGTGGTAGTAACAACTGTGATAATAACGATAATAATGTGAATATTGGTGAATAATTAAGCACCCTTTCCTGCTGCCACAGTATGCAATTTGAATGCTTTCAAAAATAGTAAATTACGACAATATCGCGAAATATCGGAAGGAGTTAGTATTTTTTTTGGTTTGCAGTTCTGCAGTTTATTGCAGTTCTTTTAAATTTATTTATATGCAATCATTTTTGAAATAGTTTCATCGAATATTTATAGAAATTTTACAGAAATTTTTATAAATTTTTTCAGGAATAATTTTCTTTCGATATTCCATCATTTCAATAATTGCTTTGCCTTTTTATTCACTTTTTTATTAAAAATTTTTAGCTTGACGTTTGGGAGGAACAAATAAATCGAATTAAAGAACCTTTCGATGAAAGGCTCGTAATTCGAAAACGACGACAAGTTAGTTATGCACCCATTTTTGTTCGATGCAACTGTATTGAGCAGGAAGATCACTGCGTTCCACAAAGGAATCCTCTCTATGTATATTTATGTATATTATGAATCCTTTTCATATTATGTTCATGTATGGTACTTCTTAAGCCTAATGAATTTTATAAGTGCAAAAAAATCACCAATCGAATATACAATTTAGAGTCATCACTCATTATTTCAATAATATTATGTGTTCCTTTATGTTCTAAATAAATTTATTTATTTATTATTCTATATTCTGTTATATATATGTGAAATAATACTTTTTCTTTATGATTTGAAATAATACTTTTCTACTGAATTAAAATTAATTCAGTCAATTCAGTTTGATTAGTCATATTAATTGTTCAACGAACTTATAGGAATGGAAAATTTTGATGATTCTTTTCAAAGTCTTCAAAGTATAAAAAGCCATGTTTTAAGGTGAATGCAACTGTTTGCATATGTTTCGAGGATCTTAACACGGGCAATATTTGGCCTTGTTATCCAACTATGGTATGGGCTGAAAAGGTTGGGAAATTTTTGTCCCCATTCTATCCCACAAAAAAAAAAAAAAAAACAATATGCTCTTGTGAATATTCTTCTAGTATTTCATTTTATTTATTGAAAAGTAATTAAAAAGTATCCAACAAAGCAACTGTGAAAACGACGTAAAATTTTTTATGTTATTTATTTTTGAAAAATAGCAATTGAATAAATCGTCCTAAGAAAAATAAAATATTTGTTGCTAGAAAAAGCATATTCCAGAAGTGCTATCATTGTTCCATGTCAAATACATGTGATGATCCAGATCGACTTAATGCATCTTCTATACAAACTTCATCAAATGCTTGGAAATGTTTATGCCAATCAGTTTCTCATAGCTGTGTCGTGATGCCAAAAGAAGAGATTAGGTGGTGGAATCCTAATAAATATTCTGTCATTATGCAGTCTTCTACGTCATCACCAGAACTTGTTGAAAAATTTGGCATGAAGGTATCTAATTATATATAATTATTTATTATTATTCTATTTTTTTCAATATTATAAAATCAAAAATAAAAATTTGAACAACTGTAATTATGTAGAGCCATCCGCAAAAAAAATTTTAATATTGTTTAATAAGATTAGAATAAATGAAATTTTTAAAAAGAGACTGAATATAAATTAATTTACCAAATATTAAGTAATTTTCAAGCATAAATAGCAGTTTTCTTATGTTTATTTATGGTTCATGGAAATTTTGTGAAATTTATGGCAAATTTAATATTTATCTCAAGATTTATACAATAAATATTTCTATATTATGTATTATTATTTTTATTATTTTATTATATATATTATTTATTAATTTCTATAAAGTAGCTTAAAAAGAGACTGAATATAAATTAATTTACCAAATATTATTATGAAGCAGATGCAGTCGATTCTACAACATTAATATCTGATATAAGAAAGCGAAGATGATTTACCGAGAGTTTGGGAATTTAACATATTTATTAATTTATTAACGAACAAATAAGTAGTTCATGAGATTTAAAAAGACGAATTAAAAAAAATGATTAACAGTTTTTATTTTTAGCTTTCTAAACTTATATTATCTTATCTTAACTTATCTTTAATTAATGCCTTTTTTAATTTTTCTCAACTTTTTTCGAAATTAATTATGTCCAAAATATCCAAAATTATGCTCAATTAAATTTTTTAGGACCGGAAAGATCCGATTGCTATAACTGCGAGGGCCAAAGAAACTCTTATTTTTATGATTGCTGCGTTACCGAAAGAGGAAAGAAAGAATCTTTCATATACTTTGGATGAATTCGTCCTACGCTGTTCTTTTAATAGTGAGGACTGCAACAATGAACGGTAATTTTAATTCCTTTATGAAATCTAAGAATCAACTATTTTTGAAATTTGATTAAGAAAGTGCTTCTACCGAATCCAGAAAAAATAAATAACTTTCTCCTTTTTCTAAAAGCTACCTTTCGCTCCGATATCTTGCCAGACCAGACAAATTTTGTCAAAAAGTCATTTGCCGATAGGAGTATAAATGAGTCGGTGGTTTCACGGGGATTTTTGAAAGTTTGCTTACTTTTACCGATTCTCAACATCGCTTTGAAATGAGAGAACCATTCTACACTGATTTTAATTTAATTTAAAGAAATAACAAAGGGATAGAGATAGCAACACCAACCAATTCAAGCTACAGTAATTTAAAGTGAACTATGAATATTCCAGTGATTTCAAATTACATATGGATCCTGAATATGGAAACTGCTATACATTTAATTTCAATGATTCTGTCGAACTAAAAAACAGTCGTGCTGGTAGAAACTTTCTGAAATTGAATTAGCAAAAAAGAAAATGAAAATTAGCGAAAACAAGCCAAAATAAATCTTTAATTAACAATGTTTTTCATTTATGTTGGAATTGTGAAATTATTTTGGTAAAGAATTTATTGAACTGAATATATATTTTAAGATAAAGATTGATTAAAAAAATTACTACCGAAAGCTCAAAATTGATTCCCACTTAAGTCTAAGGAAAATTACAAACTGAATAGAGAGTTTTCACTGAAGTGCTATCTAGAAAGCTTGTGTTAAGGACCAATGTATGGCTTGCGGTTGTTACTGAACGTTAACCAAAGTGATTATTTGCCGACAACTGAAGCTGCTGGAGTACGTCTTGTCGTCCATGAGCAGGTCGTTTCAATTTGTTGTAAGGTTGCATATATTTAGAATTTTGAAATCATCTCAAATAACAAATGAAATGAAATAAATCATTTGAGCGATGTTATAATAGCTTTAATTATTTCAGCATCAAGAACCCTTCCCAGATACATTTGGTTATAGTGCCCCAACTGGATTTGTTTCCTCATTTGGCTTGAAAACGGTTTGCCACTGTTTAAGTATTTTCTCGCCCAATTTTAGCATTCTATTTTCGGCAGCAGCTATAGGTCATTAGTATTCTTATTTCTAAAGCTTATATCTAAAAGAAATGAAAAAAAATGGAAAAAGTGGAATTTTTTAAAATAAATTAAAGATATATCGCACTGCAAAAAAAATTACGAAAATTCTTTTTGTATTAAATTGGCAATATCACACTAAAGTGAATTGCAGAAAATCGTGGAAATTTCAGAAAATAAGTTTTTAATTTGGCTGGGTTGCTCTTTAAACTTACAGGTTTCTGTATTTACCAGTGATTTTAAAAATTGAAGACATTCGTTGGGAAAAACTGAAATTTTTAAAATTAAAAGATTGATAACTGCTTCTGAAGCTTAGCATTTTAACTTTTCTTATGAAATAATTTCCTCTTTGATTGCCGCTTTTTTAGATTTCCTACCTTACTATAGTAAATTATTTTTAATTTAATTTAATGGTAATTTATGTATTTTTATTATTATATATATGCTTTTCATTATATTCACTATTTTTGGCATTTTACTACACTGTTAGCGAGTCCTTTTCACCAGAGGGCTGCTTGGAAATAAAGAAAAAAGACTACCAGCCATAAGGAGCTAGTTGCAAGTAGCTGCTTTAATTTTTTAACAAAATTCAGAAGATTCTTCATCGACTTGATGCTCCATATGGGTCGTGCAGTGATTCGTTCAGACCTGAAAAATATATTTACGAGGAACATTATTCGCCAGAGGTTTTTCCTTTTTTCTATCAAATTATAATTTTTCTATTCTGTTTTTCTATTTTCTATTGAAGTTTCGAAAATAATAATCGTTGTTTTTATTTTAGCCAGATTGTCATCAGATAATAGCATAGATTCAACTTCTGATTGCTCTCATTGTTGCTAATTTGACTAGCTGCACTGGTAGTGCTGGTTCTGTCTGATGTAATCTGAAAACTAAAGCCACCTTTTTTTTCGCCGCCCAAGTCCACATATCGCTGAACTGTTATGTGTTCCTAATCTCTCTTATTCCTATCGATCAAGATATTTATTGATCCTTCTAAAGGCATTTATCATAGGACTTAGCAAGTAGCAAAATTTCTATGATGAGCGACGAAGAATGGCTAAAAATATGATTAAAGCCAAATTTATATGATTATTATGATGTTAGACTCATTATATCCATAAGCGTTCCCTGTGGCTAAAATCAAGACTTCCCCGCATCGTTCGTCCGACTTCCCAAACTGAGTTATACAGCCACTTCAGCTAGAAAATTTATATGATTGCTTTTGCTACAACTTCGGGACTTAGTTCGCATTTTTGCGAAAAAACTATGAAAGAATAATTCCACATATTTTCTTGATTCTAAATTCAATTTTTTTACAAATTATTGGATTGCTTTTTTAAAAAAAATAGAAAAGGGTTTAGGCATGTCGTGAAGTCAGATAATCAGCAGATCGAGAGTGAAGTGATGAAACAATTGTTCACGAGAATGTTCTAAATAAATATTTAAATATTCTGAATAAATTGAAGAAACAGTCCTTCTCTGCACAGAAAATTTTCAAAATAATTGTTCATATTTAGGGATGCCATCGAAATTGTTTTCAACATAACGTTATTGAAAAATGTGGTTGTGGTGATCCACGTTTTCCATTACCTTCAGATGACCAACATTCATGTGATATTCGAAATGCATCCGAAAGTAACTTTATGATATTGATTCATTCATTTATTCACCCATTTCCAAAGATTTGAAAAAAAGGGGAAACAACTTTCAAAAACTTATTAACTTGGTACGCGCTAATACAAAATTTATTAATATAATAACGGATGAACAAAGGAAAAAAGGAATGTAACAGTTAAAATTACTCGCAGATATTTAGTGAAAATGGCAAATTATCAAAGCGCGTTCATCTTCAAAGAACGAGATATGTGATTATTTTAAGTGAATTTAGTACATAATGCTTGTTTCACCTGCATTGGCGAAATACGATAGTATAATTCGTATACACCTATAGGTTGCAAATCTATCACTAGATTTAATTTAAACTAAAAATGGAAAATATAAAATTATCTAAATCGTAGCAAGACAATCGCAAAACTTCATACAACAAATCCATTTAAACTTGAGGTTTGAAATGAGATTCGAAACGTTTGTTTTATTTTTTACTAATATTTAATTTATTAATTCTACCAAGGTACCAAGGTAAAATTTAATAAATTTAATATATGCGAATAATTGCGTAAACTTGAAATCTAATTGAAATTTGTTTTGATTATAGGATAGATTGGAAATTAAATTCACATTTTAGGACGTATAAATTGATAAATATTTAATTTTATACATAATTAAGATTTATTAAAGATTAGAAAAATTTTTTAAGATAATTATTTAAGAATTATATAATTGTATATAAGATCTTTACTTACAAGATTTTTAGACGTTCTAAATATGAAAAGAAAAGAAATGCGACTGACTGGTATATTGCTTAGGTTATCATTTCTAGCACAAAGATTGGGACTCTTTGCTCCTTTACAAGAGTATGGAGTTGGAATGGTACGGACTCCATCTGCACTTCTTTTATCAGGTGGCAAAAATCACTCTTGTAAATGCAACGACCCGATAAGGAAAGAAAATTATTATAACATCGGCTTAAACAACATTAGTAAAAACAATGGTAAAATAAATTAAAAATTAATTTATTACTATTGAGAAAATTCATCATTCGCAATTCACCACTTCAATTCATTTTGTTTATTTTTTATTTATTTATTATTTATTTTAAGTAACTAATATATCGATTTATTTTAATTTACTATTCTATTATTTTTTCTGCTTTATTTTATGAAATTATTAAACATACTTCTAACATAAGTACTTTATAATATTATCAGCACAGGCAAATAAACCAAACTGTTGAACATTTTTAAATAAAATAAAATATAAATTAAGGAAGTTGTCTGCGAACATTTACGGCGCTGACAAGTGGATTTCATCACTTGCAAGAGAAATGTAATTGTGTCCAACCATGCACAGAAAATGTCTTTGAAACGGCATATTCAGCTTCAGCTTGGCCTGCATCGAATTTTAAAATTGGTGTTGCTTGTCCTGCATTTGATGATATCACAAATGATTCGATAAAATGCACAGAATTTTATAGGTAGATTTTACATATTTCATTTTTAATGGCTTTGAAACCGAGAATTGGTAATATTATGGCAAACTATAAATGCATATGGTATCATTATTGATCATTAACTGATAATAAATTTGTGCTAATTTGCTTCCAGTAGCAAATTTATGTTTTCTATGTTTTCCTTCTTCGTTAGCTCTTTGGGACTGCATTAAAGCATGCAATTATGCACTTTTAACTTGATTTATATTGCTAGGTTAAATACAGCATATATTGAAATTTATTATGAGCAATTAAATTTTGAAATGTTGCGAGAAACCGCTGGTTATTCGGTAAGTCTTTTCAAAACTATGCCATTTAAGTATAGTATTATACCATCACGGTCTAGATAATAGGCTACTCTGTTAATAGGCTATATAAAATTAATTTAAAAAATCTTCAATTCTTAATCTTTTCAATTCTTCAATTCAATTCTTCATGAAATTCTTCAGTACAACAATTACTTTAGATAGTTAATTTGTTTTCCGATTTCGGTGGAAACATTGGACTCTGGATTGGATTTTCCATTATAACAAGTGAGCGTATAAGTTTTTTCCGCAAATTTTGTGCTACTTTATTGATAAATTGATTTCTTCTGGAACAGTTAATAAAAAAAATTCTTCAGTAAATTTATTTTTAATATATCAAATTAATAAAATTTTTTTGTTAAATTTTTCTGATAATTTGATTCTAGTGATGGAAATAGTAGAATTCATTTGTGAACTGTTATATTATGTGGTTTATAAACGACCAGTGAGAAACGCAAAGAAAAAACGTAGAAAGGAAGAGAATCAACTTATGAAGCCACAGATTTATCGCCAAGCTGATGTAAGCTCATCAAGCTCAAAAATCGAGCGATCAGCTACAACTGACACAATTCTAGATTATGATGATAGTGCGAAAATAGAATATGGCTATTATCGCTAATTATTTTATATTTTTTAAAATTTTAGGTATCTTTTGAATGCCATGACCCTATATATGTATATATATATATATATTGTTTTTCTTTATTATTCACAAAAATTGAAATTCATTTCCTCGAAACTTTTGTTAATTGTGTTCGTGAGATCCGATAAATAAGCTTAATTGAAAATGGTGAATACTTTCAGAAAAAAAGTATGAAAAATTTAGGAAATCGAATATTGAACATTTCAATATTCATTTCACAACATTAATAATAATAGTTTTCTGAATATTTTTTCGAAAATTTATTACCAGATCCGATATTTAAGAAGCTGCCATTTTTATATTATTTTTAGTAACCTTTAACTTCTTTTGTACTAAACTAGTAATAAAGAGTGAAAAAAAACTGCGAAATTATATGTGCATGCAAGATTGGAGAATTTTTCAGAAAAATCTGCTGAAAAAATAGACTGGCGATTTATCCGTACTTTCATCACCATAACTCCCTGACAAAATTTGTCTGGTGTGGCAAGACAGCGGGACGAGTCTAACTAACTAACAATGGTAAATGTTCTTTTAAAAGAACTGCTGAACAGATTCAGAACTGCGTCTTTTAATCTTTAAAATAAGCAACCTATGTAAGCAAAATCTAACATCGATCATTGACATTTTCATAAGAATATATTTTAGTGCTGAATTTTATATCGCGTGTATAATATTTTTATGCAGTCGAGTTCCAAAAATTTTTAATCGGTATGACCGTTATATAGTAAAAAATGCTTAGTTATTAAATTAGTCATCAAGTCAACAAGTTTTGGATATCAACAAGTTTTGGATATGAAAAACTGCTAGGAGAATTCGACATTTTCAATTGAAATTAATTTGATTATTAATTTGGCTATTAATCATTTTTCATCAAATTTTATAAACTTTTAATGCTGCAATCTTAATTTTTAAAAACCTTAATTCATATGAAATAAAGCAATAGAGATAGGTCGAATAACGAAATGTTTATTTAAATTCAGCTAATATCAAACGAAGGCCATAAATATCGTTAAAATGAGCATATTCATTGTAGTTAAAACGTCAAACAATTTCTTATGACAGAAAAAAAGTTTAAATGTAAAAATGATGGATAATTTTGAAATTGCATTGCATTAACTGCAGTTTTAATATTTTTAGAAAGAAAGAAATTTCCTAAAATCAAAAAAAATAAATTTCGACCAAGATTATTCCAAGGAAAAGGAAGACTCAAATTAGAACGATTTAGTTCAGAAAAATGAACACATCATTTTTTCTTCATTGAATTGTCTGAAGCTAATCGTATATTATTTCTGAGTTCAGTTAATATTTCATTTACATGTACCTCTTCAAGGAATTGCGAATAGCCAATGCTAAATAATTTCACCAAAAGAAGCATATTTTCTCTGCAGAACTCGACAGATTTTTAAATCCGAAAAGACTGTGAATTCTAGACGAATTCCTTAGTTAGATAATGCTACTAAATTCCGATTCTTTTGCAAAATTCATCAACAAAAAACTGAATACTATAATAAGATTGAAGTTCTCCTTAATCTTGAAACGATAAAACCGATCATTAAAATGAATATAAAGGATGCATATTTGAAAGAAGATTATTGTCTATAAGTTAACATGATAACCGACATTTTCTTCCTAATTTATCGTATAGTTTACCAGTAATTATAAATTTTGGAGTAATAATATTCATTTTGTCCAATCCATAAGAAATGAATTAATGAAATAAAACCAAATATCTTCTGGAAGTATTAGTCTCGAATATTGAAGTATTTGAAAGAAATTGGCCTGTGACAATTTCTAAATGTAATCAATTATCATAATAAACGTTAAGAACGCTGATTTCTCCAGTAGAAAATGTCTGAGTGGACATATCACAAGTTTGTTTCGGTGATTTTGGTGCAATAATGTTATTGACAACTGCTGGTGTGACAATATTTCTTCTTGGCCCACGAAATGGCGTCATGCTATTTTGAAAATGGGTAGGTGGTGGCCGATTTGGATTCGGTATCAGGGCTTCAAGACATTTTTCATCGAAAAGACCATGAAGATGATTCGGCAATAGATCATAAAGTATCCTATAGATCACTGTAACAAGACAATAAGCTTCTTCTGCCACAGTCATTAAGAATTCCTGAGTGATTGGCCTTTGGCCCCAGCTAAAAGAAGATATAATTTGATTTCAGCAAAGTTTCATTTGAAAATTTAAATTAAAAATTGAAAAAAAGTACTTCGGCATTTGCGAAAGTTTTCTGGGAGTCAAATCAGACATCATAATGTACTGTGGATAATAAACCCTTTGAAGATTTTGAAATGTTATAGCGCGCATTTCCATAAACGTTTTGCCAAATTTCTCATGTTGCAAAATTGCATGTGCGATCTGAAAAATAAACGATAGATAGTTTATTTTATTTTATTAAGATATTTACAAAATTTTTTAGTTTACCAGTTTCAAAGCGAATTTTTAATGGAAATGAATAGGAAATGAGCATTCAATAAGTAAATGTATTTATTTAAAAAAAGTACTTGCGTATCAAAAATTCTTTGAAGATTTATAGCATAACGATGAGCAAGCAGTGTTGCAATTCGTCTTGCATCATGAATTACCTACAATTTTCGTGTGGCAGTGCTTCTATTGACAAAATCTATGGCAACAATATAATAATATAATAATAGTTATGCTTAAAAAAAGGGTAATTCGTCTTTCCTGTGTACAATGAAAAATATAACATAGAACGAACTTTTACGATCTTTTCAGATTCTAATAATTCTTTAAGACCACTTTCAAGTAAAACGGTATCGCTATGGACAACATCGAAAACATGGATCTGACTGCACGTAGCAATAACAACGAGCGAAAGAAATTCATCTCCTTGCATACCAAGTGTTACAGTTTTGAAATCAACTCCAATAAGTTTTTCTTCCATGCAGTCAATTTCATTGCTAAGAGATGAAACTGCTTCCTAAAAATAGTTTTAAAAAAAACTATTGTAAATTAGGTAATGAAGTAAAAATTTTATACTAAAACAAACTTTTACCTGGGCAGATTTAAGTGATTTTACTAGATTTATGCGATTAGTTCCATCATGAATCAAATGATTGTTACTGCAATTACTGTTATTTTCAAGTTCAGATCCTTCAGTTGAGCCACATTCGGAGCCATCTTCAGACGCTCGATTTCTCACTAAGGATACCTTTAAAAAAGAAAATAGTCCAAGAAAAAAAAAGCAAAATTTGAATGAGCATGACGTTCATTTTATTTATAACTTCAAATCAGCTGATTTACGAAGAATAAAGTAAAGAATTTAAAAAAAGAAATAACGCAAATATACACGTGCTACACATACCTTGTTAGAGCGGATGAAAAATATATTGCGATTGAGTTTCAGAAATTGAAGCAATTCTTTTGGATTAGTTGCCACTTCTTGCCTTATAGCATGAGAAAAACGATCACAGAATTTTTGATAAAAGATATCCATCGGTATCGGTTGATCTTCATGCTAAAGATCTGTGAATATTAGCAAATTTAGGACTAATCATAAAAATTATCAGAGCAGAAAAGGAAAAAGAAAAAATTATACCTGTTCAACAACAGATCGAAGAAAATCAACGGCCGCTTGCTTCGCTTTCATACCCGTCAAAGGCTTGCCTTGATCATCTACATCCAAATTCGCATTGCTAGGTTCCGGCATATTTTTTAACCTAACTCGATCACCGTCGACGACAAAATGATCTGTCTGTGATTGTAAAAATTCACAAAAATCTTTTAAATGTCGACCAGAGACAAGGCGTACTTCAGGTGCTGCTTGCGATCGATGCCCAAGTAAACTCTTGATCTATATAAAAAGGCAACTATAAATTATTTTTAAAAAATTTTGAGATAAAAGAAACAATGGGAAAACCAATGTAATTGAAAGTGACCTGAAGTTCTGGACCAAATTTCTGCAATTTTGCTTCAAAAAATTGTACTGCCTCTTTTACATAATCTCTATTTCGGCCATTAGCAGTCGCATTCAATAATGGATTGTATTTTGCTGACAAATCGCCATAACCATTTAGACATACCTGAAGGCTGCGAATAGTTCAAAAAATCTGCAAAAATGTTTTCACACTTTTTGGTGAATGACGAGATTTGGATGTGAAATTTGAAAAATTCTGCCATTCAATCCTTTTCTGACTAATCCATTGGAAAAAAAGTTAGACAATTGGGAATAAAACCAATGCATGATGAATAAAAATATTAGATTCGCTTTCATCTTATGTATTAGACACGAAGCAAAAGAAAATCTTAAAATCTTTCTGTATTGATTTACAGACAAAAACATATGAACAAGCTTTATTTTTTTTTAAACAGAGTTCGCCAATGCTGGTTAAACTCAGGTTTGTCGGACTCGACAAACTTTACCACGGTATCATTCGCCAGAAGTATAGATGAATCGCCAGTACAATTTGGATTTTTGAAGGGTCCTGCGAACCTCAGCGCTCTGAGCAACTGAGCAATTATCCCACTGAATCGTTCTATCCATTCCTCCTCCCTCTCCTTCCTCCATTCTTTTGCCATTAAGGGAAATTGCCACCTTACAATGATGTGTCGACCAGAATCCGAGCCATTCTCGATTCTCGACGGCATTCATCTTGCCGTATCGAACTGTAAAATAAAATGTATATTTTGAACTGACCTGATCACCTTCCACGGTAAACAAGGAAGGATGTTGACAAAGGAAATCTGTGAGGCCTTCCTGTGTCGTACCAACAGCATCTCTCATTTCTGTAGTGAATCCGCGAGCTCCAAATTGGCAGCTAAGATCGTGGATCGTTCGACGACCATTTTTTTGCATCAAATGATCCATAAAGAATAAAAGCGCCATATTTTTCGCTTCATCCATGTTCGCAGCTAATGGGACTCTCAACAACCTAACATTAAAGCAAAGAATTTCGATTAATTAAACGAAGGAAAGTGGAGAAAAATAATCGTTGGCTTTGTGTTATATAAATAAAATTTACTGAAACTATTCTCATCGATTCAACAAAAAAACTCAGCAAACATCGCAATAACGATTTTAATTAGAGAAAAATTTAAAAGACGAGAACCAGCTGAGGTAAAAAATATTAGTGGATTTGCCATCAATACTTTCGATAAATCACTTCATAAATATTAAATTCTTCACAGAAATATTTCATGCAAAGCACCTAATTTTATTACGGAATACAAAATATTACGTGAGTTTCATAAGAAACAAATGGCTTTTTTTATTGGGTTAATTGCTTATAAAGGTTTTGGAAAAAAATTAAAGCCACACTCTGATAATTATTTAATTAATTTTTTTTACGAAATTTATAAATAAAATTTGAAAACGATCTGAAATAACCATATGGAATGCAGACTGAATTATTTAAGAATCATCTGATCAAACGAGAAATAAATATATGAGAAATGAGTAAAAGACAATATACACACACTTTTATTGATCATATAATATAAATACATGATATTTTAATGATATAGGATGAGCGAGAAAAAGCCATAAGGCTGTGATTATAAACCAGAACTTGCTTTACTTGACTGAATCAAAAACGCAACCTCAAATCACCAATCTCAAATTATCACTAATCATAATGATATATTAGATACATAATTCAAGTGCTATATAAATGTGCTATGTAAATAAGCAGATTCACCAAAATTACCAGAATTTCACCATTAATAGAATTTACTTTTATCATCAAATGAGTCTTCATTTAGCAGCCTTATTACAAATGGTGAGCGCCAATCGCTTATCTAAATTAATAATAATTGTAAGGCAACAATAAATCGTGTAATTTTAGGACTTTGCTGCCTGCCTTGCTTCCGGTGATGTGACCGAATTTATTTATATATAGAAATGATATAAAAGAAAAACAGTCCTATTTGCTGATGCCAGGTAATAAACATAAAAGAAAAAAGTCTACATGAAAAAAACGATGAAATAAAGGGACATCAATAATATATTTTATTAATGAAATTATTAATATAACAATAACAGTGGTAAACAATCTCATAAATAATATTATTTAGCCTTTTTTTAAAAACATTGAAGGTGCATAAATTGAAATCCTTACAAAATGATTTGTTCGAGTAATGAATGGAGCGAATAAAAAAGTTGTGATTTTTCAATCCTACTGGGTTATCCTACTGGATTTAATAATTGTCAATTATTCCGATTATTAATAACTTCAGTAATTTCAATTCGTTATATTCCGTTCTACATGAATGAAAACCAAAGTTACGGAATTTATCCAAAACCAATTCAAGTTAAAGTGAAACGTCCTCCACAAAAATCAACGGGACCATTGGAATGGGCTATGAATATTGCAAGCATATTTCTGAGAACCAAAATCCACAGTAGCATATACCACTAGGAAATGAGCTAGCTATATGGAGACGACAGAGTAAGCGATAAATAGAAATTATTTCGTCTTCTTCATAAAACAATCTCAAAGCGTGATCAGTGAAATAATCCTAGAAAGATTAAAATTAAGAAAGGTTAAGATAGCATTTTAGGACTCTCAAAGATGGTCCTTTTCGATGAAGAAAGTTTGTTGAGATATTTACCTGGATTCACCATTTATCCACACAAGAGAATAAAAAATATTTTCCGTCATTCAGGTAATAAATAGTCATTCAGCGACTTAAAGGTCCCGCAGAAGAAGGGCTCGGGCTGAATTCTTCATGCCCATTGTCTTTCATAAATCAAAGAATATATAGAAAGAAAGAAAGATATAGAAAGAAAAATTGCTGCTAACCAAAGCAAACTTCTCTCACTCCGTAGGATAACAAAGGTGCCTTGTGACAATTATCAAGAATCAGTCTACTAATTAAACATCACTGGTAAATTCCTTGTGCTGATGCAAGTGTAAAGTAGCAGGATGCGTCTTAACCTAGCCTGATTTAGACCAGAGTAGGGATTTGATGACCAAATATTCATGCCAAAAGTCCTCAAATATTAGCGACCAATCGTCACCTTATTCGATGCTTCTGCTTTCGATAGAGCTACATTCTGGAAAGTGATGGAATATGAAATCGTACCAGGACGATCTTCCAGTGCATTTTATCATCTTCCATCTGAATAAGAAATAATAGGGAATCACTCCCTTCAAAACAAGCTTTCTTTTTCCTAGAACATCCTATATATTCGATTATGAACACTTGGAGGAGGCATTTAAGAGGTATGCAAGACAGCCCATAACCTAATATCTTGAATATGCTGATGATATAACCCTTTTTATTTAGAATTTAGTTATGCCATACATCGATAACTGAAGCGAAGTTCTCCAGCTCTGGATAAGATGAAAAAAAGATGAAAATGTTTTCGTCTTACACTAGACCCTATTTTTATAAATTCATCACAGGCTGAGGAAATAGAAGACTATATCTATCATAGACGAAATGACCGAGAGAAATTCTACCTCAGCTAAGAATGCTTTCTTCCTATGGCGAAATCTTCATGAAATCGCTAATAACATCAACAAAAAGCTCGCTCTATTTGATTGCAATATCTCATTATGGCTGTGGCTATGAAGTTTGGTCGGTGAAAGTGGTGGCAGATCTATTTTTTAATCATATATGCCACCGATGGAATTCTTTGCTCGAATACCAGATGCATTAACGACAAATTGTAGCACTCACTCTTACAAGCGCTGTGGTAGATAGCAAATAGAATGAATCAGCCTAAACCTGAAACGATTTTTTTTTTAAAAGTCCTCACCATTACTGGTAAAACTCGCTCTACTTGGTTTGTTGCANTGGGCAATATGCCAGAGAATTCCTTGGCGATAGAAATACAGGTAAGTTGCCAGCATCACTCGGATTTTCGTACATGTTTATTCCTACGGGGAATCGAACCTCAGCATCGATGTTCCCAACTGAGCAACAACCCACTGAGCCATTTCATCCCCAAATTTCACACGATAAGATGGAATATTTAGCACATAGGTTGCTCAGCGACATATGAGCGACATATGATTTAGATAGTGGACAAAGGAGTGATGCTGCTGCTTTAAATACAGCCATTATTCTTACAATCGAAGTCAGTCAAATCAAATCATTTAACTATTAAAATAAAAAGAAATTTAAAGAATAATAAATTATCTTGAAAGTTTCAAATTTATTCTAACTGAATTGGACTGAAACTAAATGAATCAGAAATGAACGCAAATCCTTGTTTTTCCACAAATTTATTAAATAAAGAAATATTTTTTTCGCTGAAAATATCCTTTTTTTTCTGAATAAAACAATATAATCAACAGAGTGAACTTCCTTAGGGAATCTATCGAACCAAATTGCTTATCTCGATGAGTCGATCGAATATATTCCAAAATTACAATGGAAAAATCGCCTGATGAATAAGTAAATGGATATTAAGTAAATGGATAAATGGAAAAACTTTTTATAGTGGCGAATACTACGTTAGTTATAACAATGAGAGAATAAAACGATAATAATGAAATCGAATTTTAATGTTAAACTTTTAATGTTCAATAAAAATATGTAATTGAAACAAACAGAAGAGAAAATATAGCGAATTATTTATTTCATATTTTTACAAAAGAAAAAAATTGCTGTAGTTAGTTGATTAATAGTTGATTGAAAAAATTTTTGTTGAGCGGTCGTTTCAAAAATACTCTCGATTTATTTTTGTGAATCTATTTTTCATTTCTGATCACAATTCAGCTAAGTCCTCTTAATTTCTTTTTACCAAACAACGATTAAAATTAAAATGAAATAAATTAATTAAACAAATTTAATTAAATCAAATCAATTAAATTGTATAAATAATATATATATATATTCCATATATATATATATATTTTTTTATCCATTTTATTATTTTCCTCAAATTTAATTTTTTTTTATCTTTGGCAGGAGTAAACTTGCTATTATGTCAAAAATCCAAAGGGTCAGATACAATTCCACGAATTATCTCCATATCAATCGAATTACAATAATACTAATCTTACATCTAACCAATTCTTCCAAACTCTGCAAACATTAAATTCAAAAAATTAAAAACCCAAGAGACATTTAAAAGCTAAGCCTTATCCCCTCTTACTTACTGCTTACAAGGATTGATGCTCCTTAATAAATAATAAATAAATAAAATATGAACTCATTACTTATCTATTCGACTGCTTCTCAATGGACTTTTTCACTTTTTTTCAAATTTCTCAATGAAATGGAATTCTCAAGAAAATTCAATCAATTTCGAATTCTTTCCGAAAAACGATTTTTGAAAATTTCAGAGGAAAATAAAAAAATGTAAATTTCGTAATTCGACGCCACAGAAATCGTTCGAGCTGAAAAAATATTTGGTGCTCGATTTAGCGAACCGACATAAATAACAACACAAAACTTCAAATAACTAAAACCAGCAACAAAAAACAAGAAATAATGAACACACTGCGTTCCTCAACTATTCATTTCTTGAACCATGGAAAAGCGTCAAAATTTAAAAACGTCAAAATTCGACACCAGTTTGATGAATTCGAAGAATAAAGTTCCGGAAAATTTTCCCTCGATTCATTTTCAAATAAAAATAACATATCGACATGCAGCAATAAACTTATCGAATATCTCAGTGATTCGAATCCAAGAATTACAAAAAATTCATCGACTGAAGCCAAAGCCGATTTATTTTTTGCAATCCCATTTAGATAGCTATATAAGTGATAATCAATAAGTAATTCTCTTATCTTCTTCAAATCAATTCAGTATTGCATTAAATAAAATAAGGCGATTCTCGAAGAAATATTCGTTGCGTTCAGTCCTCTTCGTAAAGGGACTAAAATTTTTTTTTATCGTGGAAAATTTAAAAAACAAGAAAAGAAAATGTTCAATTCCTTCTGTTTTTTATTTCCATTAAAATCAAAAGGATAAAATTAATAATAAAGTTCAAAGAGAAAACACTTTCTCCAAACTGTGGAAAGAAATCTGGATGACAAACATTTAATAACTGATAGCAACAATAAGAAAAAATTGATATAGCAAAGATAGGCATAATCCTATTAGCACCGTAGACCAACAGCCTATTTTCACCTTGCTTATGGCCAATCTAACTGATTATGATGCCCCACAATTGAAACAATTGAAAAGATGGATCAGTGGAAGAACGAAAATAAATACAGATAAAATCCTTTAAAATGAATCTTTGAAAAGCGATAAACGAGAAAAAAAAAACCAAAATCAGGAATATTTTCAAGCAAAAACAAAGACTACTAAAAGAGAAATAGATAATTAAAAAAAGTTACCAAAAAACCTGATTTCAATTTAAAAGAAATTTCAGCCTAAGAACCTAATAATAATTAATAATAAGTAATATAATAATAATAAATAATAGTAAATAATATAATAATAATGTAATAATAATAAATAATAAAATGATAATAAATAAAAAATAATACTAAATAATAATAAAACAACGAAATTTGGCAGAAAGTAAAATATTGCAGAAGAAAATGCTGAATGCAAATTATGAAAAAGTTAAAATTATCGACTAGAATTAAATTTCCACCAATGACAAAAATTTTTCCTAAATAAACTCATAAATTAATAAATTCCCCAAATTTTTTTATTAAAAATTATAATTAGAAAAGATAAAATTACTTAGGCAATTTTCTCAAATAACCATGTTAATCATTTAACTAGATACTAAGTATTGAATATGAAACATCTTTGGTTCAACAATTTATTTCACACAGTGAAAGAAAATGCCATTGAAACCAAAATAAGATTCCAATGAGTAAGATTCCAAAAAGTATTTTCGAGAAATAGTTTTCGCAGGGAATTGATTTTAATAGAAATCACTTTATATAAATTCTTATTTGTTTGGCTTTGAAAATGGATAAGAAAAATAAAAAAATATAACAAAAGGAATGGAATGTGTTGGCTGTACATAATAAATATTAATAAGAAACAAAAAATCATAGAAATTTATTAAAAATTATCTCTTTCAGAAAAAAATTCATAAATTCCACCACGAATGATCGATATTTTATTTATATTATTGTTCCTTACTGTCATCAACCACTATAAACAGTTTCTGAATGAAAGTCGTAAGTGAACCTGAAAATTTTTTTAAAAAATTTTTAAGATCAATATAAATCTTTTTGGCTACAGCAAATCTTAACTTTTTTTTGTATTCTCCTCTTTTTATGACTATTTCTATTGAATCGATTAAATGATTTGTAAAGTTTATAAAATGATAAAACTTTATAAATCCAAATTTAAAGATTAAATTAAACTAATTAGCCAAAATAAATATTAATGGAAACATGGAAACATGAAAGTAATTATGAAATGAGAGAAAACAAGAAAATAAGAATAAGAAGACAATGTATAAAAAAAATAAAATGACGAACTTGATATCTTCTCAAGGAATTTCGGTGGTTTCCCTCTAGCGATAAAAACTGCGTAAACAGGAAGGGCTGTCAACATAATTCCGATACCGATCGCTGCAAAGAAAAAACTACACTATCACTACTTGAATATTAAAGATAACAGAATAATTTCAACAAAAGTATTTTAAATGCAAGGTAAAAATAATATGACCGATCGCTAAACAAAAATTTAAAAAGATAAAACTACTTACCCGTATCTTTCAATGAGCCAATAATGGGAATGACGACTAGTGCTATACATCCGATAAGGAAAATTATTGGGAAGAACAAATTTACCTATAAATTACCAACCAACAGATCATTTCTGCCAATTTGAAGAAATAAAAATAAGAAAAAGAAGAGAAAAACTAATTAAAATTTGCTGTTCAAGATTATAAGAAATTTATGAATTTTTGTCCTTCAGATAAAATAACCATCAAACTGCAATAAGTTGGCAAAAAACCTTTATTGGTCGTTCAGCATTTGGCATGGTTTTTCGTAGCCAAAGTAAGGCTGCTATAACACAAATGATTGCTAACCAGTAAACAATTTGTATATAATTGATCAACGAATATATATTATTCGATAAGGACAAAAATGCAATGGATAGCAAACCCTAAAGAAATTCTTTTGAGAAAAAAACATCCGAATGAAAATTTCGAACAAAGAAAAAAATTAAAACAGCATTACATCCTTTTCATTTTTTTAACAATCTTCGGATGCCTCCGAAATCCGAAATCAGTCGCCTTGTTCATTGTTTTCCCTTTTTTTGGATTTTTCTCCATTATACATCGCCTAGCCAAATTAAATTGAAGTTCAAAATAACAGATATATTTAAAATATGATTTAAAATGAATCTTTTAAACTGTCCTTACTGTAAAAATGACAGCTGGAATTGGTGTTCTTGTGTCTTTATTAACCATAGTCAGGACAAGTGGCATGTGGCCTTCCCGTGCTCCCACGAAGAATAACCTAAAATGGAAAATAAATATGTAAAACATGTCGATTCAATCTAGATCAGACAAACTTTTGGGGGTACTCAAGTTCTTGAATGCAATAACCACAAAATTTCGAACAGAGTTTAACAAAAATGCAAAAGTATATGTAAAATATTACTTATATATATATAAATATACTTATATATATATATACTTATATATATATATGAAAAAATATATATATATTTTTATATATAATTATATATTTTATATATATATATATATAAT